ACCTATTGTTTATTGTACCGTAAAACACATTAAACAAAGCTAGCATTCTTTTTCGTCTTCTTCTCAATCCCTAAAGAAGCACAATGAAACATCATTGCAACAGTACATTTCCCAGAGCAAAATAGTACCGTACGAATTGTTCTCGGCCTATCCATCTCGCGCAAAAAAAGGGTCACCTGCTGGTCAACAAAATGGATGTTTTGGTGTTAAACACATTGCATTGGTGTCCATAATATTGCATGATGGGATGAAATATTGTGAGAAAATTTCAAGATCGAAGAAATTATTGGAGAAACTGTAAGTGCTGCGGAAAAACGGCCTAAAAGATGAGTTATAACATAATTTCAATAGATCACATCAAAAAATTATTTTGGTCTTTGAATTAAGTTCTTAGTATGAGTCAAACAAATGTCTTAAAATATACTAACGTTATAATCAAGATACTGCTAGAATTAATGTTTTTGTTATTGATTCTCAGAAACAGCTATACTTCATGTGCCTCAAAAACATGGTATGGTATGTCCTACCATAGTCCTATAACACAAACTTTCTGGGTTATGGGGGTTGTACATCTAAAGATATTAGCATATGATAATCAATTTTCATTATTGTGGCACATTATTTTGGGCCACGTCCGCCCCTTAACTTTAAACTGCCGCTGCGGGAAAACGAACAAGAATTGGATTCTCAAATTTTAAAGTTTTTCATTTCTCCTGAATATGAATAATATAATAATGGTATAATATAATGGTGTAATGCATTTGTTGAATTGGCATGAAATAACCCTAATCATTTTATTTTTAATTTTATTAAGCATTCACGTTTATTTCGATATCCCATTGTTTTGATATTAATTAACCAATTATCTTAAAAATATGTCTTTAAATCATAAGAAAATATCTAATCAAGGATATTGCAGTTGCACAAATTTTTTGTCATTTAGTTACTGGAGTCTTGTTAATAAGAATCACCATATATTTATGATAAATAATTTTTTTTCAAAATAAAAGGTATTACATTCATTGTTATACCCAAAGGATTGCTCTTAGGCCTCTAAATTCACAGATCTTTTATTAAATGTACAATAGGTATAAAACCCATGTCAGATTTACATCATCTAGTTACCGCTCATATTAATATATTTTTTTTAATAACGGAAAGTGATATTCAAAAAAAAAAAACATTCTGTATATGTGGAAAGCTATTTGTTGTGATAAAATGTATTTTTTTTTTAGTTTATTGCTGGCTGGGTTGGACGAGATAAACTCAATCATCATCTATTTTATGCTTCAGCTTTAGACTTGCTGAGGAGGGGGGGGGGGGAGAAAGGAACCCACCCACTAGCTAGGCTAGGCCCTACTACTACTATCAGTTTCAGTGTGGCTATTTTTTTCAGATTGTCAATGGATACATACGAACATAGAACAATATAGCAAGGTATCGTATGCTATCTCAGTAATGTTTAACCCTAACCTTCTTTATCACTGAGATAGTGTATGGCACCATACCTCTCAACACAATGTGACTGAGCCTAGCCCTAGCTTAGGTTGAATTAGCTAGGCTTTACTACTTCATAGTATGCACTAATCTAGGCTCCTGGTATGTCTTCAGTTTCTGTGGTTGATTTTTATCAGATTGTCAATGCATACGCACGTACAACAATAGAGCCAAATAAACTGTTTGCGATAATTAAATTAAAACTCCCTGACGATATATGATGAACTGTAGGCCTTTGATAGCCTAAAATAGAGGTTTCTGACTGGAATTCTTATTTTCCATTTTTATCACAGCCTGATCGCTTTTCTTAATGATTGTTTCTTCTTGTTCATAGTAGCGCAAAAACTGTGATTTGAAGCCAATGGTTAAGTTAATCATATTCCCACTTCCCCGTAAAATTTACAAAACATATAAGACAAATAAACAAATATAACATTACAAGTATGCACCACTAATTTTAGAAACAATTATGTGAATGCATAATAATATTCTTACCATCAATTTTGTTCTCTTTCACTGCTCCATGAATCAGTTGGCAGTATTTTAGCATATCCATTTTAAACTCAGGAAATTTTGCTTTCCTAAAGACCAATCATAAATTCAATTCTACATTAAAAATACATCAACAAAAATAAACAATAAAATAAAGAAAAACCACTATTGTTACTAATATTTTATTGTTATTATTATTAGTACATTCGTTCTCAAGTGTTACCATCTGTCATATCACATACAACCAATTCCATTCATATGGTTCAACAGTTTCCATTTTATAATCAAGATTTAGGAAATGCGAGACAGGCATTTTTTTTTCTTTCTTCTTTTATTTATTTATTTTTTTTATTACGAGATTCTGTCACTGACAGTAATTTAACACAGGACCCTCTGCTTGGAAGACAAGTATCTCAACTACAAATCTTATACTTCACTCCAATAAGGGGTGGGCATAATTAATCAGTACAGCATTATTCGTAGTCACTTACAATTCATTCCTCAGCTTAAGGGCTTCTTGTTGGTTGTTATTTGCACTACAAACTCCAATAAGCCTGGACAGAATACCCGCAGCAGGCTCGTAACCTGAATTATCCCATTCAACTTTATATTCCAAAGCTTTATCGGGTTGCTAGAAATTATGCAAAAGGAATAATTCATTTTAAAATAAAGACATATTTTATAATATGAATATAATGAATAAATTAAAAATTGATATATTTTTTGATTTGTATTTGGCTAATCCAATCACAGTGACCTGAAAACTGCAATGGATCAAATACTGCACTGAAGAAAATTCAGATAATCTGATTATAATTTCCCTATTTACTATGAAAAATGCTAAAAAGAATTACATTTGTCTCACAGTAAGCTTCAATCAGACGTCTCAATACGGGTCTAAAATTTCCGTCTTTTGTCTTTAGTTCTTGCAGGTTGGCTTCTAGCATGTCAATATTTTCAATCTGTAAAAGGAAATAATCATAAATAATGATAATCTTTTCTTTTTATTTCTTTTCCATTATTGGTCTTTTTTATAAAAAAAAATTAGTATAAATATTAATAATTAGCAAAACATGAAAACATAAATATATTTTCTTTTTACAAAAGATAATAAATTAAAGTATAATAAATCCTTTTATGCTAAGCAGTAAAAGCATAGCCTCCCCACGTTTCCTCCAGTATAAAATGTTAAAATCTTTGAATTCTGAAAATGTATAAGCATTTTGAATTTGGTGTTTCAGATGAGTATTACGATGTATGTTCCCCAGCCTTTTCCCTTCAAAAAACTTGAAGGTGAATTGGGGTGGAGAGAGGGTGAGTGCTTGATGATTAGGTGAGGTGGAACTAGATAGCAAAATAAGGTGATTTGTGATAATTTTTAACTACTTGAGCCTGATTCTTTTTTGGGAGGGGGAAATAGCAATAGAAAGAAACAGATTTATTTAACACACTAAGTGAATCAATATATTTCTGTAATAGTTTGAATGTTTCCAAATATTTTTTTATAAAGGTTATTCAATATTATTATAAGTATATTTACATGGTACATGCCTCTACTTTTCTGGTTTTTCAGTCCTTGCTATATTAAACTAGAGTAAACTACCGAAGGACCCAGAAGTGAAAATATTTGACTGAACGGGCCAATCTGGAAAATATTGTAAATATTAATAATAATGAAGCAAATTAACATAAAGAACATACATCCTTTGCCAAAAAGTCCATCCTTCCAGATGATGTTACTACTCCGTCCACAGGATCTACAATCTTAGCGGCATTAGCCTTCAACCCACCAAGCTTCAGCTGGTCCAGTATGGTACGGGCACGTCGGAATTTATAGGCTGATATATATATTCCCTAGTAACAGAGTAAAATCCAATCAACTGCAGTGAATATATTTAATATGTGTAAAATTATTCACATCATTACAATTCATGCTTGGAAAGGCATCTCAAGTGGTGATGTTAATAATATGAATGAACTTCTGTACTTAAATATCTGTTTTAATGGTGGATTTGGTAGCAAATTAAACCAAGAGGCTGAAAAACTGTTCAACACTCACTTTATCTGCAAAATTGTTGAGTAATAATTCCAAATGAGGCCGCATACGATCGTTATCGCCCTGAGGGATCGCACTGATTAGATTCACCAAAATCAATCCAACATATTCTACAAACATTGTACAAGACAAAAGATTTATTATATTCAGGATCTTCAACATTATATTACATCTAGGATACCAACAAAATTTATTACCATTTATTTTTCACAGTCTGAAGTTTGTAATTCTTTGAGTACAAAGGAGCTAGACAGTGGTGAAAAATATTGATATCTTTTAAGACTACCAAAGGTCTTAATGTGCCTCATAAGCTCTTCATTTATAATTGAATAGTTATGGATTTGAAGGAAAATTAATAAAATGGTTGGAAACACAAAACACAAAATGATTTCAGTTAAGTGTGCATATATCAGCAAAAGCAAAAGCGGTCTATTGAGTCCATCAGTGATTAGTCCTCTGGGTGTTTTTTTATTCACCATAACGGTCTCCGTACTATCAAAAGAGGATTTGAGTATATTGATGAAGATAGTTTCAAAATATGAAAAGCATATGTCAGACCACATCCTTGAATACTGTGTTTAGGCATGGAGTCTAGGCTTAAACAAGGATCAGAACATTTTTGAAAAGAGTTCAGAGAAAAGGCATCTACTTCCATCTATAAATATCTGAGCTATAGCGAAAGACTAGGCAAACTGAACTTATATATAACTTGGAACAGAGATCTGATTGAAACTTTCAAAATTATCAAGGCATATGAAAATGTAATCTTTGTAGAAGATAGCAGTAGAAGAGGACATCAGTATAAAATACATAAAGCAAAAAAAACACCTGTTTTTTAGATGTTGAATAGTTATAAATATTTGGAATAATTCCCCAAAAAGGTTCTGTTGCTAATGGTAATGTTATCTCCTTCAAGAATGGACTGGGTTCTTAAAGGCTTTTGCCTAAACATGTCCCACTTATATCAAGTATCAAGTGTAAAATTTAATTTCCAAGAAATATGTATGAAGAGAAACATACGTGTTTAGCTATTAAAATAACTAAAATTCAATATTACAACTGCTTACTTTGAGTATTAAATTAAAATGACTCAGATTCAGATTTATTGATCAATCATATAAAAATACATGAAAGCCCATGAAATTGGGAAGAAATTAGGTCTCCAAGGTTGGCATCCTTGGCAACTTTTTACTACCTAGGCCTATAGTATAACAGACATGCCAACCCTACAAGGCCAATAAGAGGAGTCTGAAAAACTTCTGAGCGGAGTTTTGGCAATGTGAGGAGTATTTCTAAGACATGGTACCAATGTGATCGGATTGTTTTGACCCACAATCAGCAATACCGCCGTGCAAGACTAGGCCCTAGGCCTAGGCAGAAAATCAACATCACACTAATCACAACGAGCCTACCGTAGGAATCACCTACAGTAGTTTTGATTTCTAACTGACAGAATACTTTCCGCGAATAAATTTTACGTATACAGTTCAGAGTAAAACTTTGACAGTGATTGGTCAATGAAATTGGTTTTTAAAAATCAGTAGACCGTAGAGCGTGAATTACTATTTTGTATTCAGTTCAGAGCGCTGTTTTCAGGACGAAATTAAATGGTCATGTTCTTATCTAAATCATAGGATTATCATTTCTATTCAGAAATGCGCGATTTATTTCAGCTGGCCAAAATGCGTAAAAAGAGGAGATTTTCGACCCAAAATCAGAGTGCGGTGTTTTGCTTAAATAAAAGGAGAAACTCCGCCAAAATCTGAGTGGCTGGCATGTCTGTGTTAACTTTATATTTTTTTTAAATACAGGACTACACTCACACTCTGAGTGATTTGTACACTAGGGTACAACCTTCTTTCTGGGTATCATTTAATATTGCCATGGGATGAGTGCTATCTGGTGGAAGGCTCAGAGAAATGGAAAGAGAGCAGAAATAGAATTGAGCTAGGAGAGTTTTTATAATAAAATAAATTGTGCCTAGCCTTCACGGTCTTGAACCTTAAAACTGTTGTGGTTTCTTTAAAGATGTTTTTGCTGTCTGCTACTACACAAATGAATTATAAAAAAAAATTTAATCTCCAAGAAATATGTATGAAAAGAAACATATGTGTTTAGCTATTAAAGAAACTAAAATTCAATATTACAACTGCTTACTTTGAGTATTAAATTAAAATGACTCAGATTCAGATTTATTGATCAATCATATAAAAATACATGAAAGCCCATGAAATTGGGAAGAAATTAGGTCTCCAAGGTTGGCAGCCTTGGCAACTTTTTACTACCTAGGCCTATAGTATAACAGACATGCCAACCCTACAAGGCCAATAAGAGGAGTCTGAAAAACTTCTGAGCGGAGTTTTGGCAATGTGAGGAGTATTTCAAAGACATGGTACCAATGTGATCGAATTGTAAAATATAACTGTTTTGACTCAGAACAGCAATACCGCCGTGCAAGGCTAGGCCCTAGGCAGAAAATCAACACCATACCAGTCACAAGAAGTGTACCGTATACATCGGAATATCACCTAATTTTGATTTAAAACTGACAGGATACTTTCTGTTATTCCCGTATATTCCGGTGTATAAGCCGCAAATTTTATACGCGATTTTCCCCCAGAAGTTTGGGGTGATGCGGCCTATACACCGGTCTTTAACCTACTCCCAAAAAGTTCAGATCGCGAGCCGCCGGGAAAATCAGGCGCCATCTGTCTAGGTTAGGCCCATGCTGCCCAATTAATTAGCCTAGGGTGAGGACCGGTTTGTAGGCCTAGAATTTGTAATTATACTCACTACACTGCTGTACTAGGATTTCTACTAGGATTTCTACGACATTCAAGTAATGGTTTGGGTTTTCTAAATAATTCATTCATAACTACCAAACAACTTTTCGCGAGTTTGGTCCTCGAGGTCACGTGAGCAGCTTAATTTACGATGTCGCAACAAAACACACGTGGGCTGGTTTGTTGAAACATGCTGTTCGACATCTGGTTCCCGGTGGCTTGTACTGTTAGAGAGAATGATTCGCTATAATTTCAGAATAAAAACTTGTGAAATTAATTTATGCTATAAAAACACAAGTTTTCTTGAAATTGTAATAATTATTTTTCTGGAATTTAACGTTAGAAAGGCATTCGTCATCTGTGCATGCGTAAACTTTGTATCGCACGATATTTCTCCACTTCTGTTTTTGTTTATAAAAACGGGGTGCGTGATGAGTGCATGCTCCGCACAGTGGGCTGTGAGTAGTAATGACTTGGCCAAGAATAACCAATATATTTAGCTTAATACCGACTGTTATTAGTCACCATAATAATAGAATGATTGTTTAAAATATACTCAATAAGTATTTTATTTTATTAAACTAAACTGATGTTGAAAATTTAACGTATCGCGACCGTCTAGCATGAAAATGGGGATTTCCCTAGAGCAAGAGAAGTTGTTTCATTGCGGTAGCCAGAAGTTTACACGCATTTCCAGTTGTTTGATGTTGACATTTGTAAATAAAGTCAATGTTTAAAAATAATTAAAAACTTAACATTATGGGAACGGTTTGGAGCTTAACAACAGGTGCGGCTTATACACAGGTGACACAAAAAATCATGATATTTCGCGTCCTAAAATCAGTAGCTGTGGAGCGCGAATTAATTGTTCGTATACAGTTCAGAGTGCAACTCTGACAGCGATTTGGTGTCAATGAAATTGTTTTTTTTGTGTTTTTTTTCGAAATCAGTAGACCGTAGAGCGCGAATTATATTTTGTATAGGGCCTAAAGTTCAGAGCGCTGTTTTCAGGGCGAAATTAATTGGTCTTGTTCTTATCTAAATCAGAGGATTATCATTTTTATTCGGAAATGTGCGATTTATTTCAGCTGGCCAAAATGCGTAAAAAGCCGAGATTTTCGACCAAAAATCGGAGTGCGGAGTTTTGATTAAATAAACGGAGTAACTTCGCCGAAATCGGAGTGTTTGGCATATCTGGTATAAGCTACAATTTTGCTAACACTTGACTTTACAGCAACATCTACAGACCATAATTTTGTTAAATTTCTCTATTAAATCAGTATATTGTTTGTGAAAGAATGATTGTATAAGTTAATAGTGATGTAAAACCTATGTTTTACTTAACAAAATCACAAAAAAAATGTTGAAAAAATATTCTCTTTAGAGTGAGAAATATCATTTTCATTAAGAAAAATATGACCAACATGCGCAAGCAATGATCACAAACTGTTTGCTTCATGCAATCATGTTTGTGTTTAAAACTGATGGTGGGATTAGGCCTACAACTGTCTCTTATACACATCTAGATGTGTATAAGAGACAGGCTATGTTCTGTGTCTGTCTGTTTTATGTTGAGGCCACTTTGTGATCGGCTCAGAGGTGGAAGTGCATCATAAAACGATGAGTCACAGATTCAAAGGACCTGTTATTGAATAAATAAAAATCTTAATATATAACATAATAATATCTTATCATTTATTAGTAAGCATTACCCATATTTTGTACTAGAATGACAAGATAATGGTCAAGATTGAAATATACTGAGAGATTCAAATTTAGTTTTGTCTTTTTCAAAAACCAAGTGATGAAAACTATTTCACTTCATTAAAATAAATTTAGCATACATGATTTTTAAAATATGGTTACTAGTAGCTAAAATATATCAATGTATTTAAGAAAATAAAGGGATATAACTGAATATTTAAAATGGGTTTGCTGAAATTAATTATATTAAATGTAAATATACTGTAAGTGCATTTACAATGTCATTCATTGCATATAATGTTAATGAAATGTCATGTACATAATATACTTGGATGTTATATAGTTTTGATAATATAAACATTCAGTGTAGGCTTACTGTTTATCAATCAACTCTTCTTGTTATTAAGGTCATCGATCATTCAATTTATTTGGAGATATTATGCAAATGCATTGACCCTTTGTGTCAACAGCAGATTGTCACAGACAATGGCTATTATTCTGTATTTATTCAGTGTAAGAATTCAAGTATTGAAAATAGAGCTGCTTTTACCTGGGTTTTGTTTGTGTCAGATAGAGTGTGGGCTATGCATTTTGTGAGTAATGCTGTTTAATGATAAATAATAGAAACAATTTAAATTTATTACATTTCCCTGCATGTTTTCCTTACTTGATGAATCCTTCATGAATATTTGTTCTAAACGCTGCAACGTCTAGATCTGGATTATCCTCAACTGAAAATAATGAAATTCATGAAATGGTAACTACTGGGCTAAAACATGAAGGTTAGTATATTTTATATAAAATAATTCAAAAAAGATGCCTTTCAAGCATCATTACTTTGTATTAAAAAAAAAATCTGATTCTAGATATTATTTCAGGTTGGGCAGAATTAGGCAACAAACAATTTTTTTCCTTCTTACATTTCGTCATATTTGAGAACACCATTAAGTCTTACCAAAAATCCTAAAATTGTGTAGTCGTAACAAAGAATTTATAGGGAGAAATGTTTTTTCCCCCATTTCTAGGTCCTTTCTAAATTCTCAATTCTTAAAATGCATATGATTTTGTTATACATTAATTCAAGTCTGCAATGCTATAAAAAAAAAAATAAAAATCATTACAAACCAATTTTGTAAACACTTGCTAAGTTGCCTTTACTGGATTCTTGCCGGCATACAGCAGTTAGTAGTGTATCATCTAGAACAGCACCAGAATCCTGTCACAATATTTTAAACACACACACATATATAACAGATTTATCAAATGAATATATTTAGGAAAGTATAGTACACTTTTTTGCAATGTGATAATATGCTAATGTCTTGAATTGCCTTGAAAGGCAACATGTTAACACTTATTTTTATTTTGCATTGCAGCATGTGATAAACAAATTGAGTACCAATGTGTGCAGTTTTCAATTTCTATTTTGTTTTTGGTGGATAAATACAATGTTCTATGCACAAACATACACACAAAGCAAAAGGCCAGAGCAGATGACAGCAAAAAGTATACTAGCATAGTTATTACAAATGTTTAAGGAACATATTTAGTACCATCCAACGAACCTGAAAATCTGAAGTCTTATAACCAAGTCTATTTTACGGGGAATGGAGTTGTTATGATTGAACAATTAACTTAGGACCTGTTTTATTTGTTTGTTCCTTGGAAGTCATACAAAAATATTCTTGTGAATGCTTTTACTAAAAAGGTCATTTCCATCATTTTAAATTGCATTCTGGGTGATTTTTACATCATATATCAGCCCGGTGTCAAATATGCAACCGCTTCATGTGTCAAAAGGCAATTGTGACACAGTTTATATCTTGATAATCAGATAATCAACCAATGATAAGAAAACCGTTGCTTTCTGGATTTTCAGTTTAAACACACCCTTAGATTTTAGACAATGAGCATCTTTAAGGATTTTATCAATGGCCAGTAGCAATGTCAGCAGGGACCCTAGGGCCACCATCAGGTAACCCTAAAACCCTGTAGGGGAAGAATTCAATTATTTCAGTGGGGAACACTGTTTTGAAAAATCCTTTCTTCAGTCTGAGAGTGACATTTTTGGGTATCTGGAGATGCCTATTCTTAAAATTTGCTCTAAACATGATGGATCTGAGTTGGATATGGACTTTTGCTGGTCCTGCAACTTACCTTCAGCTGTTGGATGATCTCATCAGTGGTTCCTTGAATGGCTGGCAGTATATACATTTTAAATATGTCACTTGACATCGTTGCATTCATATCTACAGCCATCTTAAATAGTTTCAGAATACCTTGAAATAAACAGAAATATAGTTAACACTGATATAAATAGCTTAATTCAAATTTATTACTCTGTAAATGTGAATTAATCCTATAACTAACGGTTGGGAATACAAATATTTGACTAATTGACAGAAAAGAATATCAAATTTATCTAAACTACAACCAATTTTTTTCTTTGCAATTATTATCCTTGTATTTGTATATGATATAAAATGGCACTTGTAGACAAAGAGGTAATCATAGGCCTGGTTGAAAAAGACATGTCTATCTATCATTACCAAGACTGTATTGTTTGACCCAGAATCAAATCTAATGGTAACCTTAACATGAAAGAAATTTGGGCTGTGTAATGCACTGGTGCATGAACACTTCAGTGCCCCGGGCAGTAGCCTAGGCTTGAGAGAGATATACCACAGGTTCCTAAACTTAAAACATTATTGTCTGCATCAAATTCATCTATTAAAGGTAGGCCTATTTTCCAAGAAACTCATGACAGCATGTGTAGTGTACTGCACTACAGAGTTGTTATTGTTGTTGTTATGGTTATAGTCATAACGCGTAAGCGTAAATAACGCGCGTATTGGCAGACGTGCTGTGTCACGTTCGTTGTCATTCTCTTGCTGTTCGGGTTCAATGGCGAGCACATCGTTATCTATACACTGTGTTAATGTGTTGAGTTCAGGGTTCAATAAAGTTGTAAAAGAACCTAGTATGCGTGCATATGTCTTTGTACCTTTCGTGGCAAATACATATCAAAACTGGCGACGAGCGGTAGCAACTTTTGAGTTTTCATTGGAACATGGTGTGTTGTAAGCCATTTTTAGAATTTTGGAACCGGCGGTATTGAGCATTTACTTTTTCGCATTCATTGACATAGCCAAGGCCTAGGAATGTCTACGAAGTTAAGTCTCGGAGAGGTGGGACAGTTTAATAATACGTCTCACCATCAGATAAAAATGGTTAACTGTGAAAGTAATTGTGATGGATATGATGATAAGGTCGATATGGGTAGTGTTAGCTTAGATTTGTATAAGGTAAGCGATGAGCCAATCACTCCTGCTTTAACAGTGCAAATTTTTCTTAATGACAAGCCAATTGAGTTTATTATCGACACTGCTGCACCAGTAACGGTGATCAGCTAGGAAACTTACCATGATAATTTTAATGGACTAAAGCTAACTACATCCAAGATTAAATTGTCATCGTATTCAGGTGATAACATTCCAGTTGTGGGGGAAATTCAGTGCAACGTTAAGTATGGTAATCAGAATGCCACATTACCTGTAGTGGTTGTATCTGGTACGAGAGCATCCTTGTTAGGTAGAAACTGGTTGCATAAAATCAAAATTAATTGGATGCAAATATTTGCTGTAGGGGTACCTGAGCCTAGATCTAGTTCTGATATCCATGTTATTGATAAATTTAAGCCTGTGTTTACTCCACCATCACCGGAAGATAAAATTAAGTGGTTCAAAGCTGATATCAGAGTTAAAGATGGTGTAGAACCTGTCTTTATTAAAGCACGCCATATCCCTTATGCTCAGGTTGATAAGGTCCATGATGAATTACAACGGTTAGAAAGATCAGGAATTATTTCAAAAGTTAAGTACAGCCCATGGGCATCAGCCGTACTTGTAAATAAAGCCGACAAATCAGTTCGACTTTGTGGTGATTATAAACAAACTGTAAATAAGGTAGTTGAACAAGAGACATACCCATTACCTACTGCAGAATATATTTTCTCACGATTATCAGGGGGGAGAATATTTAGTAAGATAGACTTAAAGTCAGCATATCTGCAGTTGGAATTGACTGAAAGTTCCAAAACACTCTTTAACGTTTAATACTGAAAAGGGTTTGTGGCAATACCAAAGATTACCTTTTGGGATATCAACAGCCCCAGGGATTTTTCAGAATGAGATGGACCAAGTGTTAAACGGGTTAGATGGTGTATGTTGTTACTTAGATGACATCCTAATCAGCAGTCCCGATGATGTTAGCCACATGGAAATGTTAGATGAAGTGTTGGGTAGACTGGCCCAGCATAACATTAAGGCTAATCGTGATAAGTGTGTGTTTAAGGTACCTTCGTTAAAGTATCTGGGTCATGTTATTGATGCTAAAGGATTAAGGCCCACCGAAGAGAAAGTAAAGGCTATTAGAAATGCCCCAGAACCAAAGAATGTAAATGAGTTAAGATCATTTCTTGGGTTAATCACATACTATTGTAGGTTCATTAGCCATATGGCCAACAAGTGTGCGCCATTGTATAATCTCTTGAAAGACGGGGTTAATTGGAACTGGAATGAACCCTGTAAGGAGGCATTTAAGGTACTTAAGAATGACCTCACTAGTGATAATGTGTTAATCCATTACAAAAGCGAGGCTGACGTTAGCTTGCGACGCTTCCCCAGTAGGATTGGGTGCGGTGCTATCTGTGATTAAGGATGGTAGAGAACACCCAGTGGCATTCGCCTCTCGCACACTTACAAGTGCGGAGAGAAATTATGCTCAAATAGAGCGAGAAGCCTTAGCAATCCTTTTTGGCGTAACTAAATTTAACCAGTATTTGTGGGGGTGCAAATTTGAACTGATTACAGATAATCAGGCTTTGGTGAAAATTTTTGGACCAAAGAAGGGTATTCCATCATTAGCGGCAGCCCAACTACAACGATGGGCACTAATTCTTATGGCCCATACGTACGATATTAAATTTCGAAAATCAAACGAAAATGCCAATGCAGACATGCTGTCCAGGTTGCCTTTGAATGATCCCGAATATCTTGCTACTGAATTAGCGGTAAATTACTTCTCGGTAACAGACGAATTACCCATTTCCTCAGATGACATTGCCCAAGCCACAAGGGTGGATAGTACATTATGTACCGTTCTACAATATGTAAAGAAGGGGTGACCAAAACAGGTTGAAGATGGTTTGAAACCATATTTTTTAAAGCGCAATGAGTTAAGCATTGATAGAGGATGTCTCCTTTGGGGAGAAAGGGTTATTATACCTCTAAAGTTTAGAGAAAGGATCTTGGAGGAATTACACCAAGAGCATACTGGTATTGTTAGGATGAAGGCTATGGCCCGGTCCTATTTCTGATTTCCTGATATGGATAAGCAAATTGAGAGTGTTGGAAATTCTTGTCAAATTTGCACCAGTATTCGTAGTGATCCTCCCAAGATGTCTATCATGCAATGGCAAACGACCAATAAGCCATGGGAAAGAGTTCATGTCTATTTTTTTGAGCTGGAGGGAGTCCATTACCTTTTAATGGTAGACAGTTAATCCAAATGGTTAAATGTTGAAATGATGAATAGCACTAGTAGTGGTAAAACCATAAATGTTTTAAGGAACTGGTTTGCTATGTTCGGCATACCGGTTGAGCTTGTTTCAGATAATGGACCGCAGTTCCGATCGGAAGAGTTTGAATTATTTCTTACTAGGAACGGTATTCAGCATACATTGGTTGGTCCATATCATCCGGCATCTAATTGTGCAGCTGAGAGGAACGTTCAAATTTGTAAGAAAACACTAAAAAAGTACTTGATTGAAAGTTTACAGGGGGGAGGACAAAAGGTCCCTTTGAATGTTAGACTTGTTAACTTTCTTTTGTCATATAGAGTCACACCGCAAACTGTGACAGGCCAATCCCCTTATAATACGTTGTTTAGGCATGTTCCCAGAATAAGGTTTACCTTATTAAACCCTAAGGCTTCGAGCCATAAGAAACAAGTGGTCACTGCCAGTAAGGTAGAGCACTTGAGAGAATTTGACGTGGGTCAACATGTTGGAGTTAAAAACAATAGAGGTGGGTTAATTAAGTACGTAAAGGGATGTGTAATTAAGAGGTTGGGTCCTCTCACATATTTGGTGCGTGTTGCGGGATCAATACGCTATTGTCATGCCAACCATCTGTTGGCTAGTGTTTCTGTCCCTGAGGTACATGGTGGGTATACCCCAAGGGAAGTTCATGAAAAGCAGCAGGATCCACCAGTGGTAACACATCCTGAGCCTTTGCCAACGCAAAGTTCCACACTCTCCGAAACCCCAAGGGTGGTCGAAAACTCCAGAGTGTGTGAACCGTTTGAAAAAGGTCAAATAGTTCTACCCACTGAAAAACCCCCATTGCGGAGATCCTCACGAATAGTTAAGGCCCCAGACCATTTGAATTAATTTGTAGTTCAAAGTTAGTTGAGGGAGAGTGTAGTGTACTGCACTACAGAGTTGTTATTGTTGTTGTTATGGTTATAGTCATAACGCGTAAGCGTAAATAACGCGCATATTGGCAGACATGCTGTGTCACGTTCGTTGTCGTTCTCTTGCTGTTCGGGTTCCTTGGCGAGCACATCGTTATACTATTCACTGTGTTAATGTGTTGAGTTTCAGGGTTCAATAAAGTTGTAAAAGAACCTAGTATGCGTGCAAATGTCTTTGTACTTTTCGTGGCAAATACATAACAGCATGCACATTTTTCGTCCCTTTTTATCCGTTCACAAACTTCTAGGCCTAATCGTTCAATTTACAGCCATTAATTATATACTTCGTTTTTTTCCTCTCCGACATTCAGTGTCTTTTCGTCTAGGTCTACAATTACTTCTTTGCCTACCTGGACTATGCAATATTATTTCATAAGATTACAAGGGCTGTAATAATACAAAGAACTTGTCTAGAATTGTTCTAATCCTATGCATTACAATGGCCTGTTGCTAAGCTTCAATGGAGCGATGCACCTGCTATGTCATCACAAATTTAGAATGCATACGTAACAAACGTGCATGAGATTCGTAATTTAAAACATGGAATATTATGTAACTGAGTATGCTAAATCAGTTCTCGAATTATATAAAATTGAGAAACTTCTCTTTTAATACCTGAATTATTCTTTTGATTTGCCTCCAATGCCATTAATGGATAGAAGTACAGACCTCTTATTGGAATGTTCTAGAAAATACAAAAGAAATCATTGATTACAAGTCTCTTGACACTATAAGGCCTTAACACAATTTATAACTTATTACATTTAATATTAATAATTATGAAATTAAAAGTTTCACTTGCACTTCATCATTCTCAAAAATATTTAGTTTTTACTCTATTAAGTTATTTCAGACAGCTTAATGATGTATTATTATATCAAGCAAAACAATGAAATTATATTGAAAACTTCTCTAAGACTGTCAAATTTAAACAACTCCTTTAAATGTTTAATAAGTAATAGTTCCTTTTAATACAGTCCACATATAACTTAATTTTAAGTGATCAAAGGAGAATTTTAAGGTTTTAGATGATCACGAATTACAAATTTATAGTTTTTTTAGTCATAGTTCACATATAGTTTCTTAACTTGATTTTAAGATATATAAGGGAAATTTAAATGATATGGTTTAAAAGTAACTTTATTTTTAAAATTTAGTAGTACTGTATTTACTTGTGATGATAAATAACAAGTCCAATTACACCAAACTGTGGGTTGCACACAACATAAAAAAAACTTTCTACTCAATGCTTTTTGACAGTTGAATATTAATTGTTATGTACCTTCTTATGGATTGTCTCCAGTATGGATAAACTGTAATCTGATGAAAAAAACAAGAGAAATTGATCAGAGAATTAAATATATCTGGTAAGTATTCACGTTTAATAATCATAATGTTCAATTACAATTGTTTGTACCTTGGACAAACAAAATTTTATGATAATAATAGCAGGTATTTTATGCACAGGGAATGCAATAGGAATCAATTGTGTAACAATTTCTTCAGCTAATAATGATAAAATTATGCATTAAAAGCGCATCTTTGACATAATGTTTTAGATGCACATGAGAATTGGTGTCATGATCTAAACAACACAAAGATTGATGCTGTTACCTCTGTATTCTAATCCACGTCTGAGAGAACACTGAAGACCGAGAATGTATGGGGACTGATGAAGGCCCAGCTCCTGCAGTTCTTCCATGTACATACACATTTTGTCTAATGGCTGAGTTAAATAATGATGAAAACAATAAATATTACATAACATAGGATCAACATTTTTAAGGCAACGGTGCGGTAGTGGATTATGGGTAGTACTTTTTCTGTGTCTATATTATTTTGGTATGCACAGAAAGCAGCTGAAACTACTGCACAAATTCATGGAATAAAAAATGAATAAACTTCATCAGTAAAATCAAATATTAAAAGTAAATACAAACCATTTTCATCTGGACCAAGTGATCAATGAGAAAATTGCAGCGATTAATATCCTGTCCAGGGAAAGCAGCAGTATCATTGGTCAAGCTTTTGAATAGCCTTACAATAGCAAATGCACTCTCATCATGCCCTTTGGTGAGAAGTGAGATAATAAGGTTGATGGCCTCTACAAATATAAAAAGAGCAAATCATTTTAAATTACAATATTATGGACTCATTCATATTAAAGTTTTACTATAGTATTCTGCTCTAACTTGTGTATAACATATCAAATACACAACCAGAAACATTGTATTATATTATTCCAAAGATCATAAAGGCCAGACAGATCAACACACAGTGATCCACATCACTGTACAATTTGGTCACACCATCACTTTGAAATTCAGACGGAATTTGCTCGTTTTTCTCGACGGCATTCATGATTTAAAGCATTTCCATGAATCTAATTTTATGCTTATTATTAAGAAAAAGCTTGTTCAGTATCTGGATAAGAGTAATATTATACCACCAAAACAATAAATCTTTTGTGGTGGATGCTGAAAACGTCAGCCAGAGATTACACAAATCAGCTGTAATATGGCAGTGAGATACTAACCTGGATGATTCATTATATATACCATTTTTCTTTTGAGGAACTTAGCTCTAAAATATTAGATTATTCAAGCACAGGTATTGTCCCCAACTCATATTCCACCACAGGTATAGGCCTTTGTGTCTCCAGCCTTCCCCTTTTTCTTTCTCACATTGAAAGTAAAATTTAAGCTTTTTAAACTAGGTAAGCTCCTCAAAAAAAAAAATGGCATATATCTGTACAAACAGGTAGATTACTCATAGTACACCCTAAATGTGCTTCTTATTACATAGCATTTATTATATATCTATATAACATGTCTGAACCATAATGATTACATTCCAATACTTCATTGAAAGAAAAATGAGAAAACAATGAAAGATCAATTATGGTATTGATAGGGCTAATACAAGACTTTTATTCCAGACTTTTGATCATAATTTATCAACAAAAATTTATTTTCTAACAGTAACCGGAAGGTCTTGGGTTTCGGATCCCGATAGGGAATAATGTTTTCTCAAATATTATTATCTGTATTTATTACCTGTGGAGATTTATCTCCCTACCTAAATAACCCTCATGTTACTTACGATTATTCATTGTGTACTTCGCAATACATTGTGAAAAAATTAATATTCCTGGTAGGAAAAAAATTATATTGATATAATTCTTTAACAAATTGTGCAAAAAATTATTGTGCGATGGTTGAAATAAAAGTGGGATGCACCCATGGAAGACAAAAAAACTTTATTTTCTAACCTTGTAAAAATCCACCGATAAACTTAACATTTTCAAGAATCTGCAAATAATAATTTTAAAAAGCATTAAAACTGGTAACTTCATTACATATTATTTGAGAAAACTAATATGTACCATTAATAATTGAATAAACACTACAAAAAAACATGGCACAATATTAGATATTTTATTTTGATTCACGATTCAATTTTTTTGCAATAGTCAACAAGGGCTAATATCCGCATAAAATTTAAAGACAAACATACGATGATGATTTACATATTTAGAGTTACTGTGCAAACCCTATCATCTAATAAAATCTTAATGTTGGCCATACCTTAGGAACTTCACTGCCATATCCATTGCAAGCCAGTTTATCAATCACGTTGAGATAAACTTTGTCTGGAATTGTTATACTGATTGCCTTCAGTTCCTCCAATGTCTAAAGTTCAAAAGTAAATGGAAAAAAACAGTAATGTAACAATATATTAATAGCAACATTAACAATAACAAAAAATAGGGTCAGGGGTCAAGGCATATGCGAGTGACTGGAAGTCTTTTTATCATTTTCCGCTGCTAAATTATGGGTAAACATTTTTTAAATATATCTTCCATAGCTATTGTAACATTTGAGGTGATAAAGTCTCTCCTCACTCCACAATCTATCTTTACTATTTGCAAAATGTCTTATACTCCTCCAAGATGGACAAAATACACCTTATTGATTCCTCATCTCCTAATTGCACTGAATAGGTCCTTTTGTTCTATTGAATCAAATTCTTTTTCATTGTCTATGAATCCAAGGCATATCTCCAGTTACATATTCATTAATTTTGCTTTCTTGATGAGCTTGTTTACTGCAAGTGATCCATTGTTGAGTCTGCTCTTAATTCTGTGCGTTCTCTGTGTCATTTTTTTATCCTGATATACATTCAAATATATAACAAGGAAAAGTGAAAAAGAGAAAAGAAGGGAAGATAGAGAAAAGAAAAAGGAAGTAGTAGCACTCACACTTTCGAGAGCTGCCATATCTCCTTTGATAGCATATGCACATAATAAATTGGAATACGTCTCAAAACTTGGCTCCAGTCCGACATTCCTACAAAAAAAAGGATAGAATTTTGCTAGTACAGTTATGATTCCTTGAATTTTCCATTAGGACATACTAATCTTAAAGTAAAATAAAAATATTTCATCAAATTATATTCAATATAATGTTGTTTAGAACTATTGTTGAATTAACTATATAAAGGATGTTATAAAATTGAAATTAGATTTGTACTAGGCCATCTTTTTTCCATCAACAATATACATCATGATTACCATATTGTAAATATATCATGTTTGATATATTTTTATATATTGATTCTGTATATCAACATTAATTTAATATTTTATTGTAAATTAAAAAAAAGTGATCTTATGTGCATGTTTATATGTTGTCCTTGTAATATATACACACCTACAAGTATATCATGTTTAAATACATTCTGTGCATAGATTTAGTAGCCTACCTCATTAGATCAGGAATTTCTTTGGCACTTTCCATGTTTCTAAAAAAACCAATTAGGCCCATGTTACATATAATCAAATTATGAATGAATTTAGTACAAATAACTAGGTAGTGTAGTAATAATCAGATATCAGTTGTAAATGAATATAATATACAAAAGTTAAAAAAAAGTATTGATGAATAAGAAGTGGTATGATATAATTGTATAGGAACAAAAGAATACAAAAGAGTAAGAGGCACATGGATGGTTGGGGATATGGTAAGAATCAAATGGCTATACACTACTATGTAATTACATAATTGCACAAAAAAATGCATTAAAAAAAAAAGAGCAATTTAAATTCACATGATATTCATCAATCAAGAAAGTAGAAAAAAGAACAATAAAAAAAATGTATGGGCAAAAAACAGTCCAGCTAGTTTTCCAAATAAAACATTACAGAAAAAATTCTATTACCATTTGTTGTAAACTTTATATAAATTTTCATGTCATCATCATCATGAGATCAATAGAAACTTGCATCGGATAGTAGTGATCGTCAGAACATAGCTATTGTCTTACCATAAAGTTTGGTAGTCTTGTCAGGAGGGGGTATTGTCTGCCATTATTTATTGCTTAAATGTTTGTCAAAATATAAAATTAATAATTAGGGCACATCATATCCATTTTTGCTCAGGTATTCATAACAGTCATGTTTGTATGTAACATGCATGTATGTATGCACATACTAAAAAGATAACGGCAAAGGCTCCTATTTCTAATAGGAACCAAAATTGAGAAAGTTAAATTTTGAATTTAATTGTTATTTCAGCTCAGCACTGATGATATCACATACCCCGCTTTTGCATGTCCTTCGATCAGTGAGTTAAACACTCCCTCTGTAATAGGAAGATCTTTTGATTTCATAAATTCTAAAATTTTGGTTGCACCATCAATGTCACCCATCTGGCAGTAGGCTGCAATCAATCGTTGATATGTAACCTGAAGACAAGATACAAGGCACAATAATTAAAGTACACTACAAAATGCACATTCATTTAGGTGGTTTCATGGGAAATTATTTCAGGGATCGAAAACATATTGGTGAAAGAAAAACTAATAGGACTTCCTAACCATACTTACAGTACCAATACAGAGGTATGTATTTCGTTATCAAGCTACTATAAATACCAAGTCAAAATGTAGTCAATTCCAAATAGAATTGAAGCCCTCCATTTTTTAGTTTGCAAAAGTAGCGTCGCAAAGAAGCCCATGCGCTTCTGTTAAGATAGCATGGGCCTTTTTTGAGATATTACAGTACACACACTGTACATAAATTTCAAAGCAACAAAATACATTAGAAATATTTATTAGTATTTATTAATACCGGTTAAAATACATGCCACGATACAGATTATTGTTACAGTGGCACTGTTGTTTTATAGAATAGTAGTAATTACCAAAATTTACAGCATTCATTTTGAAAAGAAGCCACCCTCTCTACACTTCAAAACATGATGGCGACATGTATCAATTTTCTTAAATCTAACCCTAAAAGTCAACAATATGATCAGTCTCACAAATGCTTGAAATATTATTAGATTGATGTGTGCGGTGTTATCATCAAACGACCAGAATTACTGGTCATTATCAATATTACAAATAGAAAACTATACACCCCGAGCACCCCCTGGATACTGTATGCCACTGAAGTAGTCTTCATTGAAAAATCTTCAATTAGAAAATAAAATTATTCCATTTCAGCTCATGTTACAGAGCACCTTTGAGACTAGAATCGTATGAATTTTTAGTTCATACACAACCTTAAGTTTGTGACCTTGGTACTATTTTTGATGCTGACCTTTAATGTATACAGAATAATTGGAACCATTACACAAAATGCAATAGAATTAACAATAGAATTAAAATGTACACCACTATATTTAGCTACCAAAGTTAATAAATATAAAAACTTTTTGGGGAAAAACATAATCAATGTACACTCTGGTTTAAAACTACAATAACTTATTTATTTATAGATAAATTCACTTACTCGATTCGGTTCAATCCCCTTTGCTTCCATATTTGCCAAGAAGTCTGTTGGCTGAAACTTATGTTCATTCTGTAGATACACACGCAATAATGCATTGTAGTGGCTAACATCATACAGTGTGCCTATGAGAAAAGAAAATCTTAATTGGTAAATATTCTACTACAGAGTCTTACAAGCAATGGGAATGATAGGAAATCAATGCCATAATGATCTGAATTTTATAACAATGATATTTTTCCATGACAATTGGGTCCGAGTCACAGTCTTTCAGATTACCATGAAAGTGAAAAATGTAATGAATATAATGATCGGTATCAAAACCAACCAAAAAAAAAAAACACACCACGAAATATCCCATAATAACCAAAACAACAGCGAGAAGACATGAGGATCAAGAGGCAGGAAGACCATTAAAACAACTCACAGGAGCTCTAGCAGCAATGGCATCTGACCAGCCTAACCAAAAAAAAAAGAAAAACAAATAAAAAGAACAAAAACAAAGCACCACAACACAATGAAAGAATTCTAGTTGCCATAGGTGGTAAATAATACGGTTCTTGAAAGTAGCAAGCGACAGGATTCAATAACTGATTTGGGTAGTTTATTCCAATATGAAATTGTCCTTGGAAGGAAAAAAAAACCTGTAGATGTCAGATTTTGCACCAATGTGTTTAAATTTGTGTTTGTGGCGAATGCTGGTCATGGGAACAATTTTTTCCAAAGTGTGTGGAACTCTTCATATATATATAAATATACTGTAGGTAATTCTTGCTACTAACTGTCTTCCTTGCAGCATTTGCCAGCCAAGTTGATGAAGCATTTCTAAGGCCAACACAACAATTTTTTTTTTAGCCCTACCTTAATTCAACACTATTTTCACACATATGATTGCCAGTGAGTTTCCACACTCTTGGGCATACACAGATTTTTTAGAGTTATATACCTGTCGCGGCTGCTTCATTGCATACATAATTACGACATTAAGTGTTTAGAATGCGCTTTTTATTACAATAGGACGCGGGCACGTTCCATGCAGCTACTTCATGAACTTCTTTAGGATAGGCCATAGCAACAATGGCCGCAAAATTTCGTGAAAATATTCGATTTTATAGAAATAAACTAATTTAATAATAAAATTTATGAAGTATACGTTGGTATTTTATAGGAATAGGCTTTACAGACGCTGTATTCACTGAGATACCTTATAGAATTCTAGTAATTATATGACTTTAAATGACTTTATTTTCTCCACAATTGCCGTTGAATTGTAAATATACAGTGCCCTCGTGCCGATATATAAAAATCGTAAAAATAAACAAAACTTTCGCATGTAACTGTTGTCTTTAATTTTTTTGAGTTAATTTGCAAAGCTACCTAAGAAATAATTATGTTGTTATTACATTCAACATACTTTTGTTAGGACGTAAGACCTATAATCATTTTTTATTTAACTTTTTCTTCAACCTATTTTTTGTCTCTTTAGCCTGGCAGTGTGCACAGTGCGTTTTCTTTTGCGCTCTACAACCCTCTACGCCGGCGTTCAACGAACCCGTAATGGGGGCCTAGGAAGTCTTTACTTTGTTACATAAGCTGTTAATGTTATATAAAATATTAGTAGGACAATATACAGATTGGTAAATTAAAAAATAAAACAATTCGAAAACAAATTTGTTTAATATAATACATTTATTTCATAATGTGGGATTAATTATGAAAAAAAAAGAATACAAATTAAATCTTTAATTTATATTATTAAATAATTTAATATCCATTTTCATATTTTTTTTGCAAATTATATGATCAAATGTGGGCCTATTATTTTTTAAATAAAATAGTTATAAGTAAATATTCTTTTATTAGTAAATATTAATAACCACAATACAATAAATCTTTTACACAATAAATTATCTAGGTCATACTCTAGTAAATAATAACAATAATAATAATAATAATAATAATAACTTGCGTCACTCTAACAATTTTTTTTGTTTAGCCAATTGGCTAAAGTCAACAATTTTTTTTAGCCAATTGAAGCTTTCTTAGCCAAAATGTGACGAAAATTGTTAAAAATAGGCTCTTAGCGGGAGCATGTGTCTACTGCCAAATTTAATAGAAACAGTGATGTCAAAAGTGATTAATAAAATAATAGTACCTGATAGATAATGACAAAATTGCTTGCAATGCATCGTACCACACACGACCGAGTTTACGGGTAGTAATAAAATCACGTTATATTTCATTTCATTTATTTGTCTCAAACAATTAAAATGTACATAAACAGAAATGGCAAAGAACAATTACAAAAGTACAAAAACAAGAGACAGGACACTCCAAAAGTAAAATCCATCACAGTCGAGTGGACACTATGTCACATCACGAATGTGACAGTGTCAACTTCCGGATTCTTACTTCACACTTTTGTGAATGTGTCAACTCATGCTCACAATGTCAACTTTACGCTTCCGGATTGACCAGGATAGCAAAGTGTCTACTGCCTGAGATTATTTGATAGGCAAATTAATATTTCGAGCACACCAATGAAGAGGTACTTTGAAAGTTTGCTGAATATAGAACTATCACAAAAGTTGAAAAAATTATGTAGGCCTAGGCCTATACAGCATTTTCTTTTTAGTTTTGAACGATATTTGGGTGGGGAGCTAGCAGTGGTTCACTAGACTACAGTATATTCAAAATTGTCTTGGGGCCCAATCGTCTGTCACCTGAAGTTTTTACCGTGATAATCAAGAAAGTACACGATCTACTAGGCCCTGCGGCTAGGCTAGACTTACTTGTGAGATTACTCTCTCTACAACACAAGTATGTAAACCGACCCACGCTGCGCATTCTTAAATTATTACACAAATTATTTAAATATATTTTACGTATTTGACGATAACATGAAATCACTGATTAAATTATTATTAATGATACTAGGGTGTCCTCTTTCAACCACAATCGAATCGGCCCTCATGTTTTAGTGGAAACCCAAGAGCTAGTGGTGCCTTTCGTCTACGTCACACAACCGCTGCCCTGCATCTACCACGTTAAAATCACAATTACAAATAAAAAATAACTTGCGAGGCACGCAATGACGTTTCCAGCAAGATTACTCATACAACCAAAATAAACGTCGCATGGACTTAGCGAAAAATGGAGCTCAAATGGAAAAAACGATGTATTTTACCAAGTATTTTTTTTTTTATTTTAGGCTTTCGCCAAAATGGCTAAAGCAGTTGATTTTTTTTTCACCAATCCAAAATATTTTTCGCCCATGGCGATTTGGTGAGCAGTTAGAGTGAGCCCAGAATAATAATAATACGTTAATAATTATGATTATTATTATTATTATTATTGTTATTATCATTATTATACCTATTAATAACAAGCTACTATTATTAATATTAAGTTATGTCAAACATCAATTCGAAACCATTAATTTACTGCAATAATTCATTATCCATCTTTATTGTGTATTATTAAAATGTGACATACATACAAAAATTGAGATCAATGGTCAGTCGGTCGGATTTTTTTTTTTTTTTTAGTAATTAGGCCTACATGAAATAGGATAGGCCTGAAACTGCAGTCCCAATTATGAAGAGAGTAGGCCTAAGGGCTTGTAGCTCGTAGGCACCACAACAGTTTAAAGAAAGATTTATTTGGCTTCGAAACATAAAATAATAATGTGTATCTGATCCACATGATCACGCACGGGCAGGTCGAGCAAAACCATACTGTTGTTATGAAAAATGTCCAACCAAGCGCTCTCTATGTAATACAATCAAAGTAAACTTTGAGAAAAAAAAAGAGAAAAACATTTTGTTTATGGCCTAAAACCGTAACGGAGCCGAAAATGTCTGAAATTGTCCAAAATACCGCAAGGTAATGTATATGATTTTTGATTCAAGCAACCACTAGTTGTACAGTAGTAAAGAATAGGTTAGCTTAGGCCTAGATCCGATGTTGTGTGCATGTATCATCGTCGCACTCGGTTCTCAAAATTATGCCTTCTATTTTATCAATTTTACGTGTACATATACTGTAATATGGCCCGATTTTGATAAAAATACATGTCTGTTTCGGATTTTATGTTCTAATGTTAATTTTGGAGGGTATTTCTCGAATTTGAATTTTTTTTTTTTTTTAAAGACCGACCCAATTTTTTGGAAAATTTTGGTCGGTCGTGGAGGGCAACACAATATATATATTTATTTTTGTTTTGCCCTAGTCAAACTTACCTAGGGCAGATAATCTGTTGTAATCTTAATGACGAATATGATATTATTAGATGCCAATAGATTGTTATGCATTCGAGCCAACACATTAGCTTGTAAGTTTGGCAAATGCTCGGATATTGTCAAATGCTTTCTATTTTATTCTATTTTTATTTTTATTGTGCATCTCTATGGGTGCATTACACTCAAGGTGCACTTAATGCTCTACAAGTTTTTTTATAATTCCTCTCAGGTTGTTGTTGAGGCTGCCTAGACACTTTAACGCTAGTAGCAAGTTAGTTATCTTTTGGGGAATATAAAGTATGAGAAAATCTGCTTTCTATTTTTTGCAAAGAATGGCAGTACCAACAAACTGATTTCATGCTTTATAGTGTCTAAGGTCATCAAATCTCCATCATAGAATGATGGATACCATGCGATGACTTTTCTTTTTCATTTTATTTGTAATGTGGACTTTGTTAACTGACCTTGTAAGGTCAGGGTTGATTTTTCTGTTGTAAGGACCAGGTTTCCGAAATAAAAGTTTGATTAATTGATTGATTGATTACTCCAATATTACTTCATTCAGTCAAAAAAAATATAATGAATTGAACAAATTTTGAGATAAGTAGAACAGAATTGTTATATTGGTAAATTTGACAGATATTAGAAGTTTGCAATGTTCAGGATATTAGCTTATAAGTAATGAAAAAAATAAAAATTTAAAAAATATAAATAAAATAGGGCTTACTTTCCTTTTAAAACTAATTTATGTGGGGCTATAAAACACAGCAAACTGAAATCCTGAAATATTGTTAGCAGGTGCAGTAGGACTACATTATATCATAGCACAGGCGGGCAAAGTGTGGCCCGACAGCAATTTTTTTGCGCCCCACGGAAATTAATTAAAAACCTTATATGTGCAGCCTGCCAACAACATTGGAAACAGGAAAAACCTTGTTTTTTAGGGCCCGACACTGATAATATGTAAAATGTAACATTAAAACTAAGAATAAAGTGGTGTAAAAGCAGTGCTTGGAGATTTTTGTAAGCTCACTGTAAACTTCAAAGGTTGGGTTCTGTCCTGTGTTAAATAAACAAATTCACTTTGGCGCTTCAACCGATTTTTATGCCCACCCCTGTTTTATAGCATAATTGTGACCTACCTACTTGCATTTTTTTTATACCGACATTACAGATGGCTTGCAGGAGTATGTAATTCATTCATACAGAAATGCATTATCTTACAACAATATCACCGTAATATTTGTTCGGTATAAAAGGGTGCATGCATGCAAGTAAGCATACAGACATCATTACCACAGTCCTGTCTGTCTGAAAGTGGATCTAGATGCCAACTCATTGATTTTGCCTAATCCGAATATCCTTGTTGGTTTTCAAAAAAAGGATCAGAGATCAACTACAGATGTATCCATTTTATTTGTTCTTCTAACATTCCTGGAGACATATGGTAACAGAGCATTCCCAATAGCTACTCCCAAACATTTTGTTTTCAAGCACTTTGAGACTACTTTTAATTGTTTAAGATGTTTCAGAAGTCTTTGCTTATAAAGCAAAAATTCTTTAAAAATAATCAGAATTTTCAAAGTTATTATTATATGATGCAATGTAGTTGTGAGTTATTAGTACAATATATGTTAAGGAATTAATAACACATGTACCAAAAAAGGCTTAAGCTTCATGTTACACCACTACCAGCAAAAGAGAACACGAGTAAAAAAATTTAAAAAAAAAAAAAAAAAAAAAGTTCTTGAAAGCTCAGATGGGGGCAGTATAATAGAGGCAGTAGAACTAATGAAAATCTATCAATCAACTATAAATCAATCAGCCTCATGAGGGCAGTATAATAGGGGTAGTGGATCTAAAAAGATTTTTTGTGGATGCTAAAAAAAAGGTTAAATACCGAGTTGAGCCAGCTTTTCCCATATCTTGTGTGCTAATTCTGAACGTTTCTCAAGCGGCATTTCAGGTAATAATGATCCACAGCTTCTGATCAAGAGCAAGGCCTGATTTGGTGTTGCTACTTCTAAAATTAGAACAAAACAAATGTTTTAAAAATCTTTACATCTACAGTATCCTACACTATACGACCTTTTAAGACCCATTATAGGGTGCTGCTAGAATTTGCATAAATTCAGCATAGCCAAACTTCCCACTTGTGTAGACTTCAGGCATGCGTGATGCCGGATTCTAGGGGACAAAAACATGTTTACCTACGTCAATAAGCATATGTGTAGAACCAATAATTACATCAGTATAAGCAGTACACTCAGGTTTTATTAAAAACTAACAGGGTTTAAAAACAATAGATGAGTTTCATCTAAGTTCAAGTAACAGACCAAATCGGCGCCTCAAGCTATTACCGATCATGTGACATATAGTGGGTAGTAAATGAAAACAGACCACATCGCAAACCACAGTGCACTCAGTTTAGACATAGTAAATACTGTAGAGGAAAATAAAATGTTTTTTAGACAGCCACCCAAAGTAAAGTAAGGCTGTGTACAGCAGGCCTCAGGGCTCGATTTAGTACTAGCCCGGCGTACATTGTCTAGTAAAAACCGCTCCTGGCTAGCCTATTTACTTCTCATGTTGCCCGGTTGTCTAGTGGAGAATTAGCATTAAAAAAAAACGGAACTTTCGAGACAATCCCTGCGCAGGAGGTACCGCAGCCCAGAGAGTACACTCTAGCTAGCTTTCAGCTCTCCACATGCGTATTGTTTAATTATCAAGATGATCCCCAAGTCATTCCTCAACCAACCACTACTATGTGGATGCATGTTGGATGGCATGTTATCTTTCTCTATAGAAGATCGTTTGATCGTTCAATCTGGTTAATTTAGGTAGTTAGAACATTTAATTTAATGTACTACCTTATATTCATATTATTTTCTCATAGTGATATTTTTAAAATGTTCAACTTTCAATAATTAAGTACTTCAAGGCTCTAGGTAGGCTAGGCTAGCCTAGGCCCTAGGTCTTGTCTAGGCCTGGGTAGCCTAGCCTAGCCTAGCCTGGCCTAAGCAAGATTTATTGCCATTGGGGGCGAGTGACTTGAGACCTAAAGATTTAACAGGTGCATTGTTTTGATTGATTTCTGGGCCCTTTGTTAAATATTAGAAAGCCAAATTTATAACCAGGGAGATGTAAAACATGCTCATCTGTCCTGTCCCTGTTATAACCAGAGTCGATTT